TATATAATTTAATAGATCTTATTAAATTATGTGTAAATTTATTCAGATATATTATTTGAAAACGTGAAATGAGACTATGATTGAACATATTTCAATAAATGCAAGTAAATAATTATTATCATTTCCTTATTAATATATTTGATGAAATAATTAAATGTTTGTACATTTTTAGAAGTGGCTGTTACAAATGTCTGTCGCTGTAGAATTAAATTTGAAAAAGTTGTATAGAATTTCCGTCTATTAACACTTCCGTTTAATAGTATGATACGTATATGTCATCTCCATATTTTTATCCTCTATGGGTAAATATTCACAGAACAGCTGTTCATTAAAGATGTTTACCATTAGTTTGGGATGTGTTTAAAGTTTAGGTTTTGTCAATTTCTAATTGCAAGAAAATAAATGATAGTAATGTAGCACTCAAAATGATTGTTATCGTGTAATTATACTTATTAGTAAGACATAACCTTGATTATCTGTAGATTTTTTAGCAAGTATCATGGCTCAATGTAAGTTAACCCCTCGTGAGTTTATAAGTAATGCTTTTTCACCACAAATTGCTGCAATATGTTCAACCGCAGCCGATACAGTATGTCAAAAAAATAATTTATCATTCGTTGAACTTTTACAACCGTTTTGTAAGCTAAATACTGAAGGTAAGATGTTCATAACTTTTTCTACATATTACTATATTAAGACCATTACTGATTTACATTATTAAGATAGACAAATTATAACAAATTAAAAATTTTGTATAATAATAAATCAAAAAATGTTATTTTGCTACTGTTGTTTTTTTAAATGTAAGTTTTTGTTATACATTTTTAATATTTAAGTGATTGTGATCAATTTTTAATATGGACATTTCATACAATGCTAATAAAATATAGTAAATTATATTTTGTAATGAAATAAATCATAAATAAATAATAAAACAATTATAAATATATTAATGAATGTTAATTTCTAAGTAATTTTATATAAATTCTTATATTTATTATGTATATTATTATGGAAAGTTAACTAAATTATGCTCATATATTTTTCATTATTGTAGGTCATTTTAAAGATCCACAGGGAAATACTGTAAGCATCAGAAATCTTCGTCTTTTTATACAAGATGTTAATGCACAGCCTCCAGAACCTACCATTGCTAGAAAAATGTTGAATGAAGCAGTTAGTTCAGCCATGTGTGAACATACAACTGTTATTAAAATTGGAACAACAGAGCTTGATATACCAGTATCAGTTCCTTGGTTTGAAGCATGGAGAGAAATGTTTTTGAGTGTTCAGTTCCCATCAGATCATGAATTTACAAAACATTTTCTTGCTTGTATGATAGTGGTTTCTACCGCAGAGGACAATCCTTTAGAAAAAATACAAAATATGGGTGCACAATTACATCAAAATATACCTGGAAAATTGTCAAAATGGTTTAATAACAATACGCTTAGATATTATATCTTAGTACATGATACTTTACAGGATGATAGAAACAAGTATTTACCTTTATTTTCATGGATTTTTTATACATGAAAATATATAAAATTTAATTATTTATAATTTTTATAGGGCTGAGAAAGTTTTTACAGAAATGAAGAATATTTATGGTGCTAATAATTGTTTCTTATTACAAATGAATTCAAGACCACCAGGTCAAATTGATGACAATACTCATTTACCAGATCCTTGGAGTCAATTTTTATTAAGGCATTCAGAACCATCAGGGAATAGTGAACAGAATAGTTCACCTCGTACACCTGCAGATACTAGTGGTGTTTCTTCTATGCCAAATGAAGTTACAACAGATACTGATAAGTATGCTTTTATTATATCCTTCAAAAATTTCTGAAGTAATAGCAAATATTTTGTTTATTATTTTATTTTATTTTTTAGGACAAGTCAGGTTGGAACACCAATAGCTTCACAAAACTCCATATTAGCTTCTCCAGACTTAAATGATACTATTAGTTTTTCTTCTGAAATGTCTGAATCATCAAATCCACATTTAGAAGTTGGTCAAGAAGCTGTTTCTGTTATAATTCATCCCTTAAGTCCAACATCTGATAAGTTACGAAGTTCTGTTTTATATGGAAAAGGGCAATCAATTAATGATACTCCAATAAATGTAAATGTTTGGGCAGATTCTCCTAGTTATGTAGCAACACAACATGGTGCTAGATTATCCACACAAGATCTTGAAAGATTACGAGCATTAATTACAGAATTTTGTTTGAAAAGTTTATTTCCTTATGTGGAAAAACAAATTGGTTTATTAAATGACGTAATTTCAAATAAAAAAGGTGTCAGTAGATCGCTCTTTAGTGCTACGAGACGATGGTTTGGAACAAATAAACCTGGAATACCAGGACCTATGCCATCAAATGCTGTAATGTATGTTTGTTGTATTTATGTTTCATCTTATTACATAATAGCAAATTACTGATATTAGACATAACAAAAGTAATATATAGCCTATATAAATATATAAAGTTCCAGCTTGTTTGGATTTCAGTTATACAACAGAATCTCCAGAATTACAATTGCGTCGCTTAGGTGATTTATGTTTTATGTTTGGTCACTATTCACTTGCTTACCAAACATATCATAGTGCAAAGAGAGATTTTTCTGCAGATCAAGCTTGGCTTTATTATGCCGGTGCTCTTGAAATGGCTGCTTTAAGTGCATTTATGCAAGGTGAAACTAATAGAAAGACCATTGAATACATGGATGATGCAATATTAACATATTCAACCACTTGTAAAATGCCTCAGTTTGCAACAAGAGCAACATTACTCAGTGCAGAGTGTTTAAAAGGTAGAAGTTTGCATGGAGAAGCTGCTAAACAACTAATTAGAATGACTAGTGAAGATTCGGATCTGCGTTCTGCACTTTTATTAGAACAAGCTGCCTACTGTTTCATTGGGCCAAAAATGATGCGTAAATATGCATTTCATGCTGTCCTTGCTGGACATCGATTTTCAAAAGCAGGTCAAAGAAAACATTCATTACGATGTTATCAACAAGCATACCAGGTATTTTTAATTAACTATTAATTAAAATATACTAAAGAAATTAATTATTTATTCTATATTTATATATCTGTTCTTAGGTATACAGTGGAAGAGGTTGGTCATTAGCAGAAGATCATATACATTTTACAATTGGTAGACAGGCTGCATCATTGAAACAAATTAGTGAAGCAGTTAAAGCATTTGAAAAATTATTAAATGCTTCCAGTAAACAACCAGCTACACAACAAGCTATATTTTTACGTGAATTTTTACATATCCATAATGTATGTATATGTAGCATTATTAATTGTATGATATTTATATACTAAATCATATTAATTATGTACTATAGTTACTGTTACAGGAAGGTTTATCAAATCATCAAGAGCTTCCTATCTTGCCTTTGCCATTAATAGATAGTAATGATATTAAAGTATTTTACGGCCCCATAGCTAAATCATATGAAAATAATATTCCTGCAAGTCATGTTTCATTTGATATTGACGAATGTGATGATGCAAAATGGTCAAAAATGGAAGAAATGTTAATAACAGAAGCTCAGGGATCTGCTCCTATGATATTTAGACCTACAGTTGCATTATACTCAAAAACAAGTAATAACAGTATAAAACCAAATGCAGTTTTAAATGAACCAGTGCATTTTTTTATTGAATTATGTAATCCATTACGCATATCGCTGCCATTATCTAACGTAGCTTTATTATGGTCATTTACCTCTGCTAATAGAAATGTTACAAATGAAATTAAATCATCAGAGACCTTAAAGTTAGTGGAAACAGAAGTAATCGAAAAAATTATTTTACAACCTTCTTCTAAACAAAATATTACGTTGTATCTTATACCAAAAGAAGTTGGAGAATTGAAAATATTAGGTTTAAGCTATAATTTATCTAATCCAAAACACATAATAGATCCACCAATTATTAATCCAACAGTAGCTATTACTGGAAAAAGATTATTTAAAATTAGAGGGCCTAGATTAAAAAACATTAAAGAAAAGCCAGGTACAAATATATATGGCATAGATTATAGATTAGAAATGAATATTATTGAGAAAGCTCCCTTTATGCAGGTATTTAATATATATATAATATTATTCAATACTTACACAATATAATTAACAAAAATTTATTTTTAGATTTTCTTTAGTAAATTTTCTCCAGAAATGATATGTGGTGAAATACAGAAAATAGATGTCATATTAAAAAATGTGGGTAATTCACCATTGTCAAATATTTACTTGGCATCTACAGATGCTAAACTTTTTTCATTAGGAGATGAACATATAAATGTACAAGAAAGTAAGTATAATTTATATATTTTATTTAATGATTGAAAATTAATTAATTTAAGATAATATTTTACTAGTATGTTATTTATGATTTCAGGATATATGGTAAAAAGGAGTAATAGACTTGTATTAAAAATTCCATTATCTTCCAGTAATGATATATTAACTGTTGGAGAAACGCATATAATACCGTTTTGGATTCAAGCACCTTATGAAAAAGGAATTCATTGTTTAGATTTACTTTTTTACTATGAAAATATTGACACAAAAAGCATGATAAAACATCGACTTTGCAGACATACTTGGCATTTTACAGTTTTTGATTCTATACAAATTAGTGCAATTGCTTCAAGAAGTATATTATTTAAAAATGTTTCACCTACATTAAATTTAATAACATGCATTAAAAACGCAAATAAAATTAATGATGTAATCACAAATGAAATTTTGTTATCTAACGTAGTGTTTCAAAGTGATAAGTGGTGTGTATTTAGTTCATCCATTTTGTCTACAAACATTAAGATACAGACACAAGAAATGTTTCATTTAATACTAAAGTTAAGGAAAAAAAATGTGGACGAATCAACGTTTTCTGATGTATCTTTAACTCCGGAAAATGATATTGAATCAGATATGAATTATCCATACATTAATTTCATACAAAGAAAGGATATTCCATCATTAGATGTAAATGAAAATGTAGCTGAAATACAACAACAATCCCAACGATTACCACAAAATATGGAACAGAAGTCTTTATCCACCACTATGACATTAAACTCCACTTTAATTCTTAAGTGGCGAGCAAAAATAATTGAAAACGGAATTATAACAAGACAAGCAATTGGTCAACATCATCTTGATATACAATACTTGAATAAAACTTATAAACATCCTAAAGAAATTCAAGTTGATTCAAATGAATATGCTGGACGTTTGAAAATTTTTGGACCAGATAGGAACATACTTGATTCTTTGGCTGTGACTAACAAAGAACAAGCATCAGAAACAGAATTTTTAAAAAATATTATTTCTTTTTCTTTAAGTCATGATAGAGAAATCACGCATAATTTTAATCAAAATCGACTGTGTTTCATTCCAGTGATAATGTACATACAGAATCATTTAGAATCACAAATTGATATTAAAATCAATACAATAGGTACTAGTAGGTAAATATTATTAAAAATAACTTTTAAAATTTGTATACTTATACTATAATTCATTATGTATATTTTTTTTAGTGAAACTCATCTTCCAAATATAAAGTCAGAATTGTATTCTTCACAAGCTTCTGCATATTATAGATATGCTTGTCACTCGGCAATCTGTACTCATGTAGAACCTCTGATGAGCAGTACTGTAAAATTACATGCTGTACTTCCAGCCCCTGGAACGTACGATCTAGCGGCACGTGTAGAAATCTCTGCAAAAGTTGTAAATACTAGAGAATTCATTTTGCAGAAATGGAAAATGGAAAGCATATGTATTATTAATGCTGATAGTAAATAGTTTAAAAATATAGAGGTATTATTATTATTATTATTATTATTATTATTATTATCACCGTCACCGTCACCGTCACCGTCACCGTCACCGTCACCGTCACCGTCACCGTCACCGTCACCGTCACCGTCACCGTCACCGTCACCGTCATCGTCATCATTATCATTATTATTGTTGTTATTATAATGACTATTATTACAATTATTATTTTATTGTTATTATTGTTATTATTTTTATTATTATATTATTATTTGTACTATTATATAATCTAATAAATTTTGTTTATGTAATTTAAAATCATTTCATATTATATAAATATATAGTATTCATCAAATTATCATTTTGAAGTTTGTATAAAAGTATAATATGTATTATTTAATATGTATTTCATTCTTAAATGAGTAAAGCAATACATTTTTTAAAAGTATATTTATTATTTGTTACAGCATACATTATAATAGCTATTCTAGACAGAATAGTAATCTATGAACAAATTTTTGTAAATTATATGCTTATAAATTAAGCATTAAACACATCAAATATAAAAATACGTTCAGTTGTAACACTTCGCGTAAATGTTGAAACTGTAAGAGGAAAATTATGTCATATTTTTTGAATCAGCATTTCATACTTTTTAAATTAAATAATAGAAAAACTGTATAGATTTGTAGCTACGGAATGCTATAAAAGATAAATGATTATGAACAAATGGTAAATTTTTTACAATAAAAATTAACGTCCTATTACGAGAACATCTAATAACATATATTATGTCTATAAAATAATAGTGTAATTAAATATAGAAATAAATGTTTTAAAAATAGGTATGTCATAAACTCATTGCATCATAAAATTGTACGATATTTCATATGTTCATAAGAGTTGAAACAGTATAAATATTTAGATATTATATTATATACAATAACATATATCACATACATATATATATATTACAATTACAAAACACTTTTATATAAATAAATAAAATCACATGAAAAATGATAAAAATTGTATGTATTTAATATGCGATTCTAGTCTACACAATCTCGAACGCTTACACCCGATAATTACATTCATATGTGTAATTCACACGCGTATACATATTATTAATAACAAAATTGAGAATCATCTAAATTACTATAATGATACAAACAGAAAGTGATCAATTGATATATTTTTTACTTAAATAATACTAAAAATATATTAAGTTCTGGTTTTATTCTAAAAAAAATGAAGAATGTACTAATATCCATAAAATTTTTTAAATTAATACTCTAATAATTATATTTTTATGTATGTAGAAATATACTTCTTTATTTCTATTAAAATTATAAATTACTCGTTTTTAAAACTTTTTTTTATATATTATAACGAGAAGAATTTTTAAATTATAAATATGTGATTAAATCTATATTTTATATGAACCTAAATACGTTTTAATATTAAGTCGCAAATGTGCTTATTCACGGTAAGTAATGATTTTTAAAAATCAATTTGTACAACATATCGGCTTTGCTTAAAACAAAAATTTTTTCGTATAAAATTAGTTTTTTAAAAAATCATAATTATACAATTTGTACATCTGTTCATATTTTCATTTTTGTATATATCACTATGCTGATTTCCATATGCATATTGCTAAATTTCCAGCACAATACATATATAATAGATGTTTAAGCTGATAAGTTATTTCAAATCCATAGCCTTCACCAACTACTGTGTGCCAAGATGCACCGAATTTTTTATCCATTGTCTCTTTAATCATTCGAGAAACACTTTCATAATTATCTGCATATTTTTCTGCCGCAGTGACACACAATTCCATCGCTTCTTGTTTCATTTCATCTGACATATCACATTTCTAAGACAAACACAGTAAATATAACAATACAATAATATGTCTAAAATAAGCAATATATTTTTAAAGAAATAATTTTGAAGAAAATAATTATATAAATAGAAATTAATAACTTAAATACACATCATCTCGTTAAATTTTTTTTTTATAAGTTGAATTATTTAAATTCATTTCTAAGTGACAATATATAATATTGAAATGATTATAACAACAATAAATTATATTATTGAAATAAATATCCAATAGTAAATTTAATAAAAGTACATTAGACATATGCGAGTATCACTTTTCGTATAATTACTTCTTCTATTGATCAAATAAACCAAATTTATTTCTTTTCGATATATTTTGTGATGCAGTATATATAAATTATATTTTACTTACTCTACAAAGGGGATATGTATGCAATATTTTAACAACATCATCTTTCTTCATTTCAGTCATTCTTGAATGAAAGTTTCATAAAAATCGTATCAATTATTCTTCTTCTTTAAATGCCAATGTAGATATTGCCATCTTACAGGCGCATACTTACCCCTAAACCAGCATAAGCAACTTGTGTCCATTCGTTGTGGTGGGAAAAATGTAATGGTATATATATCTCTCTGTATATTCAGTCTGGCTACTAACCATTTGACTACTGAGTTAGTAGTATTGACAATTTTAGAGTTCTCATAGTCCTAAGACATCTTATCACATGCTTAAATTAACATTAAAGTATTTTTTAGGTTCTGTAATTTTTTAAAGTGTATTTTCTAATTTTTTTAATTCACTTAGTTATCAACTTTTAAATAAAGCTATGCTCTAAGTAAAGTTCTAATATATTTATATATCTAACCTTTTAATCTGATAACATTAAATTGCTAAAGGTAAAATTTATTATATATATATACATATATACATAAAATTTGAATATTATTAATAGTGTGTATTTTCTTGTCTAAACGAGTTGTCTATCTCTATTCTAAATTTATATGTCAACAATTCTGAAATTGTAAATTGAGGTTGGGAAAGAAATGAAACTAAAAGTATTCATAATTTGATAAGCTTATGACATGTTAGTAATATTCTATTGTGTGTATTAATATTTATAACTATGAACAATTATTATCTATGCATATGTACATAAGTTTCGAAATTACTATTATATATAATTTTATTTACTTATTGAAATAGAAATAGAAATAATTGATAAATTTTTTTTTCATATACATATTTTATGTAAATTAATAAACTTCCCACTTGAAGAACTAATAATTTTAACGAAATCATGCTCATTTTCGAAAAATTAATACACTTAAATGAATTCTTAACTGGAATATGCTTTATCATCTTAATCAAAATTAATAAAGTTCAAATATTTTCTTGTTGATTGAAAGTAAGGTTAAGTTTAAAATTGGATAAATTAATTATTAAATTGAAAAACTTTAATATTCAAAACAAACATGATTAATTATAATTATTATATGTTTATTGAATAAGTAATTTGATTAGAAATTGATTTAATTCAATTTATGAGATTGTTAATATACTAAGAGTGTTTTAAATTTATAATTCATTTAATGAGTATAATTTCCTTTCCTTTTAAAATTGCATATGAAATAATGACATTGTTTTAAAAGATATCTGAAATTTGAGTATTAGTTGATAGTTCATTAATGTACGATATTCAAATATTTCTCTTTCCAGATAAAATGACATCTCGATTTAGTGGAGCATTACAGATTACAAATTTAGATGATTTTATTACTCCTTCTCAAGTACATTCATTATTTTTTAATTTTATAGCTTTTTTAATTTTATAATCTATAATAAGCTTTATGTTATTTTCTTTGCAGGAATGTATAAAACCTATAGAAATTCAGACGTCAAAAAGCAAAACTGGTGCAAAAATAAAAATTGAAGAAGACGGAACACCTATGGCTTTAAATGAAGTAAATTATTAATTATGTTTATTTGTAAAAGTAATAAATTAAAATTACAAATTAAGCTATTTATATTTCATATGTTTATTAGGTTGGACAACCAGAAAAGTTACAAAAAGTAGAAATAACACTTGCTGATTGTTTAGCCTGTAGTGGTTGTATTACATCTGCAGAAACAGTATTAGTTACACAGCAAAGTCAGGAAGAATTGATGAGAGTGTTTAGAGAAAAGACCTCTCAATGTCAAGTAATAGTTGTTAAAATAATATTTATTTTTATATTATGTGTTATAAATTAATTAAATACCAAAAATTTATCTGTTCATACATATGCATTATAGAACGAAGATGGTATGTATTCAACATTTATCGTGGTTAGTCTTTCTGTACAAGCAGTATTGTCTGTAGCAGAACGTTATAGTCTTAATTCAGAAGAAGCACTAAATAAACTTGCTGGATACTTTTACCAGTTAGGAGCAGATTTAGTTTTAGATATGACTGTGGCTGATGACTTTGCTCTCTTAGAATCTGCTAAAGAATTTATAGAACGTTACAAAGCAGCTAAAGAAGGTGAAAAAAATCAATTGCCCATGTTGTCTTCTTCATGTCCAGGTAATTAGTGTATATTATCTTGATGTGTGATGTAATATTTGTGACATATTATATAGTTATATGAAAATCAAATAATGTTGCTTATTAATTTTAATGTTTATATATTTATAAATATAGGTTGGGTTTGCTATGCTGAAAAAACACATGGTAATTTCATACTTCCATATATAAGTGTCACAAAATCTCCTCAACAGATTATGGGATCATTAGTTAAATATTATTTAGCTGAAACTATGGGTCTTTTACCAGAGCAAGTTTATCATGTAACTGTTATGCCTTGTTATGATAAAAAATTGGAAGCATCTAGGAAAGACTTTTACAATTATGAAAGAAAATTTAGAGATGTAGATTGTGTTATAACTCCAAGTAAGTAATTAACATTTTGCACATATGTATGATATTTATTTAAATGCGTTTTTTATTTTAGTTGAATTAGAACAAATGTTTAACGATTACAATGTAACAATAAGTAAAATAAATGAAAAAGAAGTTCAAAAACCATTTGGGTCACAAATAGAAGATTTGAAAAATAATTTATATGGTCATACTGGTTCAGGATCTGGGGGTTATGCAGAATTTATTCTTCGTTATGCTGCAAAACATTTGTTTGATGAAGCAGACGTAATAATTAAATTTAAAAACCTTAGAAATCCTGATTTTCAAGAGGCAGTTTTTCAGAAAGATGGTCGACCATTATTAACATTTGCAATTACTAATGGATTTAGAAATATACAAAATCTTGTACAAAAATTAAAACGTGAAAAGTGTCCATATGATTATGTTGAAGTTATGGCATGTCCCTGTGGTAAGTTTTATTTAAAGAATACTATAGTAGTAATAATATATTTTCATAATAAATTCTAATTTAATTAATAGGTTGCCTTAATGGAGGAGCACAGATTAAACCTTTAAATAATATTCAACCACGTGAGCTGGCACTAAAACTAGAATCTAAGTATTGGAATCTTCCTCAGAGTAATCCTGAACAAAATTCAGTAGTGCAAAATTTATATAGAAATTGGTTAGGAGGTGAATATACAGATAAAGCTTTAGCATATTTCCACACACAGTATCATGAAATAAAGAAAGCAGATACAGCTCTTGCTATAAAATGGTAATTATATTAAACTGTATATAAATATAATGAACATAAATGAAAATAAATTATCATAACCAGTTTTAATTGAAATATTATGCATAATATATAAAATATATAAGTATAGGAATATGAGATAATAAAAAATATTGTATTTGTTATTTAAACAATATATTTGTTAAATATGATTATGTCACAGAAGTAGAACATACAGTATAATGAACAAAAAGTATAGTCTTTTACAAATTAATGATAATATAATTAAGTATTTAAGTATGTTGTTAGAATATATAGCAAATATAAAAATATTACATAGATTATATACCAATTACTTTTTATCATATTTAGATTGTAATACATATATTGAAAGTTTAAAAGATTGTTTTTTATAGTTGTTTATATTATTTAATTGATAAATCTAGTATGATTAATAACAAATACTACGAAAAAATTCAACTTTTTAGAAAAAAATATTAAGATATACATTTTCTTTAACAGTGCAATAATATTATATTCTTATATTTTATAATTTATTTATCCATACAGGAATAAATTAATTTCATTTTCATCGCTAGATATTAATTAAACAAAATCATGTACTTTATAAAACAATATAAAAAAAATACAAGTGTTACAAATATAAAATTAATATTACAAAATTTTGATTTAGAATGTGCATTATTACAAGTAAAATGTTTGTAAAATAAATAAATATAGATTTATTTTATATATATAGAAATCTAATGCATTAATTAATGCACAATGCATAGTGTATTAATTGATTAAAAATAATAGCATTATAAGTATGAATTTATTACAATAAAATTAATATAATGAATTTATAGGAAAACTTATACAGATATTAATAATTGGAAATATATTATACATTTATAATTGAATCATTATTTATCTTTTATCATGTTAAAATTTTTCTCATTTTTATAAAAATAGAACAAATTTAAAAACATAATCACATATTTCAATCAAATGATTGTATGTAAGATGTAGTGACTTAAATAGAATAAAAATAGGTATATATTTTCTGTTGTTGCACAAGAAGGTTTGTATATAATATTTATAATTTATAATGTTTTACTTTTTACTTTAATACCTTGAACATAGACTTCTTTATTAATGGACTATTATCAATTTAATTTAAAATTTATTTTGGCCTGAAGCAATGAGTACATTGTTTAAGTAAATTAAAAAAGCTTTAATTACCTAGAATTTTTGTTATCTAGTGATTTTTCATTTTCTTTCGTTACTGTAGACACTTCTTTCTTTAAATTCATTTCTGCATAGCCATCTTCAATATATGTAATAGTATCATGATGTGTATTAACTTCTTCTTTATTTGTGTATGTATTTATTAACCATCCTTGATTACTATCTATCTCTCTTGATACAACAAGAAATAATTCCTTCTCTTTATTGTCTATCTGGTCTTTTAGATATACAAGCAAATCATGTTCCTACAAACATGATGTTGGCAAAAGGTTAATATATAATATTTATAAATATTAAAAGCATATATATATAATAAAATTATTAATACGAAAAAACCAATTATTAACTAACTTTCCCAATGAGTTGTGGGGAATCAAGTTTTGAATCAAGATTATAAAAGGCACCATGAATTTTCTTCAAGGCAATCCAGTGTCTTCTTTTCAAGGGAAGTAATATGAATCCTAATTTATACTCTGTTGTTACATTTAATATGAAACCTTCAATATTATCTAAGCATAGATATTTGAGATCTCTAAAATTCCACAAATATATATATATAATTATGTACATAAATAATAACATTTACATTACCATTATTAAATTTGAACAAACCTGCGTTTATCAAACCAAATTGCTTCACGTTCTCTTCGTTGTAATGCTGCCATAATAACATTAATGTCATAATTTCCAAGTCCTAACAATGATTTATGGGGATTAATCCATACATCTGGACTTAAGCTATAACAAATTTGATCTAATTCTTGTTTATTAAATACTGTTTCTTGAAATAGGTTATTTAATGCATGTAATGCACAAAGCTCTTTTACCTATAAGAATAATAATCACATGTACAGATATATAAAATGTACAAAGTAACAATCATAAACATATATGTGTGTGTGTGTGTGTGTGTGCGCGCGCGCGTGTGTGTGTCTGTAAAAAATATAACCATATATTTTGATATATTGTTTAATTATGAATTAAAAATATCAAATAATTACTTGTCTCTCATGGTATATAGATCCAGTCATATCAGCTGCTCTATTTGCAACCATTTTATCTACATAATTTTTATTATATATTACATTAAATATTTTAGTAATTAAACATTTGCATCGTTTATCAAAATTTTTCTTATATATAAAATTTCACACGTTCTACTGTAAGTTATCGGTGTATCGATAACCTCTAATACTTAATAACGTAATAAACAAAATTTACTATTTATTCAAATTTAGTAGGAGATTATATAAAGCATTAAATATTTGTTGTCAACATACATACTTCAACAAGGAACAAATACTATCATCTTGGTATACAATACAATAGCAGAATAAATCAAAATTTATTTTTGATAAACATTAATATAATAAATATACAAATTATTTACATTTATTCATAAGTATGTTTTATCATATAACTTGGTAGGACCTTTACAATTAAACATTCTCCTTTTATTGATAAACGTAAATATTCAACAGCAATACACAGTCAGATATAAAAACTGATTTGTACCAACTACCCTTCTTTAAATTGTTGAACACTTTAAAAGTGTTGATTGGATATTCTTGAATCACTGATATTTCATCGATATTAAGTTTATAAAATTTATTTAATAACATACATTTTAATATATATATATATATATAAAATCAATCTTTTATATTATTACGTTAACATATATGTTAATTACTATATTAATAAAAAACTGCATAACATATATGTATAGTTGAATGTTACAAATATGCTTGGCCAATCTATGAAATGTACTATACTCTATGCTTAAATTGAATCAATGTTGTGCTTAATTTTATGTATATGATTGAGATAGTAAAAATAATTAAATGTTATAGTATAAATATAAACGATTAAATTATTGATTCAAAATATTTTTTGAAAATTTAAAATATTTAATTTATTATTGTTTTCAAACAATGTTATTTTCATATGACACACTTTAATTAATTTTAAAATGGAAATTGCTTATAAACTCGTGAAAGAAATAGACTGTAAACAAGGAGCTGTTAGAGCTGTTCGATTTAGTGGTAAGTAATTATGTTCTTTCTATTGACCTTTCTTTTTTATCATTAAACATGTAATATGTTTTTAGTTGATGGTGCCTATTGTTTAACTTGTGGATCTGATAGGAAATTAAAATTATGGAATCCTTACAGAGGTGTTACTTTGAAAATATATGGAGGACATGGAGATGAAGTAATGGATAGCAGTGCATCTTGTGACAGTAGTCAAATAGTATCTTGTGGTTTAGATAAATCTGTTATTCTTTGGGATGTAGCAACTGGAACTCCAATTCGTCGTTTAAGGGGTCATGCTGGTCCTGTTAATACTGTGAAGTATATTATTAAAAATTTGTTATACAATTTCACATATATTTTATTAATGTTTATTTCACATAAATACATTTCCTTTTTAATATTAGATTCAATGAAGAATCTTCTATAGTTATTTCTGGATCCAGAGATAATTCAGTTATGCTATGGGATGTACGTTCTAAAGTATTAGAACCTGTACAATGTTTAAATGAAGCTAAAGATTCTATTTCTAGTGTTAGAATATCAGATCATGAAATTTTAACAGCTTCATTTGATGGGAAAATACGTAGATATGATATTCGTGTAGGTGAAATGTATACAGATTATATAGGAGGTTGGTTATTAATATAATAAATAATATAACATGTTCATAATATATAAAATAAAAATTGTCATTAAATATATTATTCCAGATGCAGTAACTTGTGCTAGTTTCACAAGAGATGGTCAATGCATAGTAGTTAGTTCTGCCGATGGTATAGTTAGATTAATGGATAAAGATTCGGGAGAATTGCTTGGAGAATATATAGGTCATGTAGTAAATAACTTGTGCTTAGAATCAAGTGTTGATATTCAAGATACTCGCATTCTTTCTGGGTCTGCAGATGGTAAATTGTGGATATGGGACCTAGTTTCTCAAAAAGTAATCGCAAAACTCTCAGGATTTAAACCAACAAAACATCCTATAGTATCATTGAGTGTTCACCCACAAACAAACTGTTTCTTAGCTACTAATGGACCAAACATATTAATGTGGAATACTGTATCAACACAAGAGTAATATTTCTATAAAAAAAATTTGTGAACATAATTTTTATATACCTTATTACATTAAGAATTAAAAAGACAAAAATTATACAGTATCACTTATTTTATATTAAATAAATATAAAATATTGGAGAAAACTTGTTTTTATAATTACGAATGTTAAATTATTTTTAAGTTTCAATAAAATTAGTGTAAATTTTTGTATAATGATTACATTGAGATTCTTGTGATTGTAACATACAGATATCTTTTACCGGCTTATTAATTTTTGAACTGATGAGTTCTGTTACGGAAAGTGCACTCTTCTTCGACATGAACAAATGTAAGTGAAAAAAAAAAGACATTTGAAAATATCGTGTCAACATGGCGACAATAGGAAAGAATTATTCCCAACGTAGTTAACTTTTATATTGTATTTAAATTTAACGTTTTTAAATAACCATGATAATATAAATCGTTATACGTGCTGAAGGAGAATTTTTGAATGATGAGTTAAGTCGTCATTCCCCGTTAATGGGTTAAACATATAGAATATGGGTTAGGTTAAGCTGGGTCATGATATACAGTTAAAGAAACAGGCTACGAGTACGCACATAGCGTAACGCGTAACTTTAGCAAAAGAGAGAGGATGAAAAGAAGCAAAGTAAACGAATGAGAGAGAGTACTTGCGCGCGCAGGTGGCGCGATACCGGTGCGTCAGAATCACTGCTCGTCACCGTCTTGCCCGGGAGAGGGAAAGAAAAAGAGAGAAAGAGGGAACAATTTTGTACAGTAGAGAGAAATAGAGTAACTGCGCAAGAGGAAGAAAGTACAACAGAGTGTAATAGGGAATGAAAAAGACGGAGGAAAAGAGAGAGCAAGAGATATACAACGAGTGACACGGAGGTGCTTGCACACGGGGCGGGCCTGTCAGTCTCAACCACTTCGTGGAGTGCACTTTTTATTCTGTACTCGAGCACGCAGCCACTCTCAATTGTTGGCTGTTTGCATATACATGTTTGAGGATCTGTGACTTGCCTGATGCAGAATAGAGACTGTTGGACCGCGTGGTCTTACCAGATTTTAGTGGTAATCAGTCAGTATATTGTGAGTGAGGATTGTTGTTGTTGTTGATTGATCTCTCCGGCTTGCCGGTTGTCAAAGTCACAGAAAAGATCAAAATTGTGAATAGATAACGAACAATAGGCTATTTTAAAAATCTTGGTGTCAGTGATAGTGTTGGAGAGTGGTGGTGGAAGAGACAAAGGAGAAGGGTGTGCAACGAAAGAGGGTTGTTATGGGGCGAAACTGTCATCTGCTGCTACTTTCGCCGCTGTATTTGCTGACAATATTCGGCATTCTCGCAGTGGCTGATGCTCTCTTCATTGACAGTAAGTTCCATTTCTCGATCGTCCATAGAATAGAGAAAAAGAATAAAATATCAATGTGAATGTTGTCACTGAAAATGTATGCAGGTTATGACATTGTTGATTGATAAAATACGTATGGGACGTGCCATGCGCCGATGTCGCTTACATAATCGACATCCTTCGTGTACATTTTTGATGAAAATTTATAAATCGGTCGACGTAGGACGCGAGAAAGGAGGGCAGTCGCCGATATAAAAAATAAAATAATTTATAATATTGTATAACTCAGTATCTACGATCTTTGCGAAAGGGATGTTGGTGGTGTAAAAGTGCGTTAGTCTGAAAATGGGGGAAGACCGCGATAGATGGAAGCACGTGAAAATCTTGTCACATTAGTTTCTCATTTAGAGTATAAAATAAATTGTTTATTTATTTCTTTTTTATTAACATGTTAACACAAAGGATCAAATTTTCAATATTATTTTTATAATCGGAAATTATCTATTCATCTCAATAAAATATTTTTTAAAAACATCTTTAAAAACAATTTTTATATTTATTTAGCTAATAATTTAATGTTTGAGATATTGATATATTATGTTATAATATATATAATATAATGTATAATATATGATATATTTAATAACTGAGTATAAATAGTTTTTTTTTAATTATATCATATGAATAATAAATTATTCCTATAACTATATATATGTATATAGCGATATATTAGATTATTTAAAAATTTCTAATTTTTTTTGTTCCATGCACATTTTTATTAAATTATAGATAAATCAGTTTTTATTGTAGTGAAAATAAGAAATTTCTACACTAGTAATAAATTTATAATATTATATTATATTATAAATTTATAATATAAATATATAAACTTATGTGTATATGTGTATAATGTTTAGTAAGATTAATGATCTTATGGTTTTAGTAAACTATATAATTGCAACTTATCAATTTAATAATTGTGATAAATTAACATGAGCTAATTAAAGCGAATAGTTATAAATGAATTGAAACTTTTAAATTTAAGCGTTAAAAGTTAAAAGTGTGATAATTAAAAAAAATAAATTGAAAGGTAAATTCAAAATTCACTTTCTATATTTATACTCTGACTATATATCTTTATCTACTTTTATTATTTAAAATGATAAATCGTGCATACGAACTATAACCGACACAAAAGATAGTACATACTTAATGTAATATTTCTTATGATCATAGCTGTACAAAGCAGTATAACATATCATTCCTAGTAGACGTAACATGTAGATATAAAAGTATTGTTGAAATTTCTATGAATTAAATATGAATGAATAAGTTAAACTATTATTTAGAAAATAAAGATATAGTTGGAATAAAAAAAAAAATTATAATTAATGTAAGTATAATATATATATATATATATAATTATTCCGATAATTCCGATAATTTTCGGAAGAAAAACTTTATTAAAGTCAGTTTTGTGGCAACTTTTTTAACGGATTTTCATCGATTCGAAGGTGTAGAATTCACTTATCTTATTGTTAGACATAATAAAATATTACTTAACATTTTGTACATTCAATAATTTTTTGAAGAATATAAATTTAAATTTATAGAAAAATAATCAATTGTTTAAGATTAAAGATAATTTGTATTTAATAATTTATACGTATAAATAGAAACATGTATAGAAGTAACTTATCAACGAACATTAAGTAATTACATTTAAGCAGAGAAACGAGATTAAATTATTTATATCGTAATAAATTATTTCTTTCCATAAGTGCATCATATAAATCTAAATAATATACATTCTATTTGAATATTGTTACTTTTTAGGTAAGCAACAAGACGTACTATGTTTTATATATTTATGATACATTTAATTTTATTTTTATTGTGATGGGAACATATTCAAATAGTAATATTTGTTCTGATTTTCGTTATAACATGTTATAAATATTTTCTTTTTAATGTCAATATATTTTCAATAAATTCAATAAATTAAATAAATTTGTTTTGTAACCAAAAAGTCAAGAATAGGCATTATATCATTTTAAATGCTACTTTATTTTATTAGTAAAAGAAACAATAGAGATTAAATATTCGTTAATATTTATAGTATTGCACATACTTTTATTTACTTTAAAATTTTTTTTAATATTTATACTTGATCGTGTTGAGTAAGCGACAACTTCACTCGATTGTCACATGAAATATGAGGCGCTTTCATAGATGGCGCTAAGATACATTTAACATAAATCTTTATGCTTAGTAAGACACTAAAAGTTAATTTTATTGGTTAATTAAAATTTATCATTAGTATGGGAAAGATTTAAAGTGATTTAAGAGGGCGGTATGTATTATTATTTTCGTACAATTAATGAAAATTTCATATAAATTCTGAACGAGGAATATCACTGAGAGCTATAATGCTGATACTATAATTCATTAGTTTGTATGAAACATCATCAGATTTCGTTTAGTTTTTCATTACTTATCCTAGGTGTCAATCATTGTAATGTCAATCAATGTATATTTAATTACGCTATCTAGTACAACGATATTGTTACTTGTTAAATGGTTGAATTTAAATAATACAAATTTCGTGCAAAGTGTTCAAATTAATTGTAAGGTTATAAAGCATAGTTTGAGAACATTCTCATGTTCAATAAAATTTAGTTCAATATTTTGATAAATAGTCTAATAGATTTATTACTATGTTGAAATTACTTTTCGTGTTTTAATTTGTATGAAACGAGATCAAAAGTCACGTTCCTTGAAATAGTGGTAAAAAATTCAATTTATCGATCGTATTCAGAGTCGAGCATATTAGAGTGGAAATATAAATGGATGCATGTGAAGAAATGTAACATATAATTCATAATGTAGCACGCGGGTCGTAGATATGAAATTATAACAAATGTGACATCCATATTAGTCTCACGTGATAAACTACTAATATTACATGTTTCTAATATTTTTTTCCTTTTTACATTCTTTTTTCCTGTTTTGCATGTTTATCAAATCATTTATTTATCGAATTTTTTTTTCAACATAATGGTATTTCATTTTTTCCCCTTTATTTTGCTTCAGGCAAGTCTTGTGCTTTAAGGCAATTTCAGTGTGAGAATGGTAAATGTATACCGGCTCCGTGGGTTTGCGACTTAACAAACGACTGCGGAGACAATTCCGATGAAACCAACAAGAAGTGCAAAGGTTAGCGATGAGACAGATATTCAAATATATCGCTCGCAGGAAAGATTGTTGACAATGCAAAAATTAAAAAAAGAGATCAACGTATAATATGCGATTGGCTTGAGCGTCGTATTTGTTTTTCATATTTTATCGAATGCGAAGAAGTTGTCTTATGAAAAAAGGATAACTTCAATCAATGCTTGCCCTTTTAATCGTTGATAATGACGAATTTCTACGAGTATGCGTAAAATTAATGATCGAATATCCAATCTTTTTATATACGTGTTAAAGTTAAGGAAATGACGAATAGTTTGTAACACTATTTCAAAACCAAATTAGATAAATTTTTTAATGAAAACTACGCGAGAGAAACATAATAAATCTTTTTTTTATTAATTTTCCGATTTTTATATCATGTATTTAGTTAAAAGTACTTTGATACGTTACAGTGAAAATTGAGAATCACTTGTTAGGTCCAGATACAAAAATTTTTCAAAAGTAGTAATTAATTTATGAAAGTCTGTAAATAAACTATCTAAGTTATAACAATTAATATCTTTGAAATGTTCAGGAAGACAAAAAAATATATATTTTATGCTAAGAATAATTAAAAGAATAGTTTCGGTTAAAATGGAATTTTTTGATGACTTTTGGTGTATTGGTCTTTAAATTTACTTTCCTATAAAAAGAAAAAGAAAAAAAATATTGGTAAACGTGACTTGTTTTCCTTTATAGTATTGAAACGATTCAACACGTATGACTATTTTGAATTCTTTGTGAGAAAAAAGATGTGCAAATAAAACGATGTAGAATTACGTAAAATGGCAAGTATTATATGAAAACAACTACAATATTTTCGACGAATCTTTCTTTAAAGTTGTTTATGTTTCTCATCGATCGATGAAACATAGTTTTCCGCTGAATGCGAAGTACAAAATTGATCTAAAATTTAATTGTTTCTTCATATTGTAAATCCTTTGATCGAGAGTTCGCAAAATGAAATGTCTTCGAAATGAAATTCGTTGCAATGTGATATTTTCATTTTCTTTTTATAGTAGTGTTTTGTGTATGAACGCGTATGTATGTTTGTTGAAAACTATTTAGTTGACAAGGAAGACGTGTATAATGTTGTTTACTCTCAGTTGATACATCGTTACAGACGATATATTTGACTACGTAACGCGAAACTATGTTTAAATCAACGTTAAATATAGTGCTTCTTGGCCGTAAAGCACGAATCTGTGGCCAGGGATTAATCACCTGGATTTGTTTACGGAACCTGTTAATATTGTCGTAGTTTGATAATTTAATCGTGCCTTTGATAGCATCAAAATATCACGAATAATTTTCCCGAATGACAAAATTAATGACCATATAAAGAAGGTAACGGAAAATTTAAACAGAATTAGTTATAGAATTTCGAAACTTTGGAATTTAAGTTACATTTAAATTTAAATTGAAACTGTTTTGTAGATTTCTGGATTTGTTGATGTATTATACGTTACGTTAAGTAATATTATCTTTATCATTTATTACAGTGCATGGCAAAAAACAGATCTCCAATTTCACATTATACATTAAGGCCAGAAGTGTTGGAGAAATTTTATTCCAAAGGAGGCCAACTTGTTTTGCTATACTTGTATTGCTTGCTTTGCTGGTGACATATTCGCTGTAATTAACGTGTAATATAGCGTAAATTCAATGTAATGCAACATCGATGATATAATTCTTTTATGTTAAAATCATTCCCAAAATACTTTCAATTATAAATTTTCGCATCAATTATTAGGTTATTCTGAAATATTTCAGAAATATAGGTTAATCAAACAAAGGAACGTTCTTCGTTTAATAAATATAACTAGGATGTCGTTACTTTTTGATAATAAAATTTAAAATACACAAGATTTATTAATGTGCATTTTATCATTTATCGATCGCATAACAATTAACAGCATACGATAATTGTTACATTCACGGATCAGGAAATGATGCTAGTATCGCAATTATGCGCGGTCGAGAGATTTATTTTGTGCCATCTGACGGTCGAGACAGGAACACTTGGAATCTAAGGAAAAAGAAAGATGTATCGGTCGGGATAATAATTGTAATAATTTTATGAATACGTAATTATAGATTTGCTTGGAATTCCTCGAAGATACAGTTGATAGAAAAAGTTGGCGCCCTTGTTAGTCCTACGGTTTTCTTTGTCGCGATACATGGGAATTGGTAAGACGTAGGTTCTCGATAATCTTGCATCAGACAGGTTAAGCGTTTCTAATGTACTTTTTTCTAGTCTCGCCGCAAGGCTAGCGAGTCTATAGAGGATCGTTCTGGTGTTTCAGATCGACCACCGTAAACACTTCGCACGAACACGTTGCTGAGATGTCTTTTACAAAACCGTGTAGAAAATGAACTCGATTAAGGATACGAGTACTGGGGAATTTAAAATATTATCTCGTTTTCAGGTTAAAGTTGCTTATACATTTGTACCGATGTAAACGTTGAGGAATTGTTTGAGTAATTATCGTAAACGAATGCAGATTCCATCTTGATCAGAAGATAATTTTGTAATTTTATGTCATATAATATTGCTTTTTTGTAGCTCTTGAACATTAACTTTTGATTTGATACCTGGGTTTTCATCTAATAGTTACATAAAACGAGCTTATGCAGTGAAGTTAAAAATAAATTATAGTGATAGTAAAAATAAAAATTCTCGTTATTTGTATGCTTTGCAAGATAAAATTACGAATGTGAGAAGGTAGTGAATTTTTAGTATCTACGTAAAAATGTGCGTAGATATATCAGGGGTTGAATTCGAACATTAAGATGTCGGGGGAAGATGCCCGCGGCAAAGTCTGGGGGAAGATTATCCAGAAAAAGAACAACGAAGAGTAGTAGGGCATCGTTGAAGGAACCGGGCGACAGCTATAGAAGCGAATACTTGGTCCTGTTCTGCTTCTTGGAACATGTTGATCATTTACACGCAAACTTTGTCCACATCTTTTCGTGGATTTCTCAATCAGGTTATTTCTCAAAAATTCGATATAACAATTTATCGATTTTTAATTTGTAAATAAATTAGAATTTTAATCAAATCGTTGGTCATTATATATATATATCGAATTTCTTGTATATATAAACATCGAATTTTCTTCTCGTAATTAATCTTTCCTTTTCCTATTACTTCCTTTCGTTTTAACAATTGTTCTTGTATTTCGTCTTTGTATATAATGTCGATATTTTTATTTTCTTTTTATGCTTCATTTTCTCTACCTAAAAACTGTATAACAGAGGAATTTACGACGTGGTCTGAATTTATCGACTATCGGAGTAATTTTCAAGATGAAAAGAAGACGGTCGTTTCGTTTATACTCTGATTTACCGGCCCAAGTAAAGCACAACGCGATGTTTGACTCCAAATTAGTTAATCTTACTTTATAAGCTGGTCGACCGACCTCACTGTAAATGCTCGTTTTGTACCAGACTCTACTGCTTTGTTCCTTCGTTCGCGATCTCTTCTACCCCACATTTCTCATTTCTTTCGTCCAGGAACGCCTCGACCAACGGCGCTAAGCTTGCATCATTTTGCGCGTCCTTCACAATGCGATTTACAGCTTATTTCTAAATTAGGAAGAAATTTCTTCATTCGTACCGTTTCAATCCCGTATTTTACTTTTACAGAAATTTCTATTTCCACCTAAATGAGATTTAAACGAACATTCAACCGTAAAAATTTTATCCTTTTTAGCCTCTACATTGCATTATCATTATGATACAAAAGCTTTTACAAACAGTTAATATCTAGCTCTAAATCTACTGCAAGCGTAAATAGTCGTTTTTAGATAATTGATTAAAAATTCTGCATTTAGCGTTATCGTTTTGGTCATTTGATTAATCGATTTTTCTTTTAATACAAGTATTATCGATTTTTCAGTATCTTCATTTCTTCTATTTACTTTGAAGTTTTCCTTCTTCCAGCTTTCCATCTATCGGTCATTTGACCGATCGTGGTAAGTTTAATGTCAAATATCGTAAATTACCTTCGTTATTAATTATATTTTAATACCCTTTATTAATTATTCAAAATATTCAGCAAACTATCGAATTATTTATCCACTTCGACAATTTTTCCATGACAAACGTTCCATAAAAACCGAGTGAAAAATTCGCCGAACCCGATGCGCCAGGGCATTAGTTACAATTGCAACGCGTTCGAGTTGAAATTCCAACAACGAGCAGTGAAAGATATTTGAGAGGAGTTGCGTTATAGTCTCGGCAGCTACCAGGTTTAGAGGAGCCATTCGTCTCGGCGTTCTTCTCCCGTGCCAAACTTGGTCGGTTCGTCTCTCTCTCCCGCCTGCCTTCCCCTTTCTGTCTGCAACTTTTTTTTTCTTCTTTATCTTCTTCTTTATCTTCTTCTTCTTTATTTCCGTCTCCTTCTTGATCTTCTTCTTCTTTATCTCCGTCTTCTTCTTGATCTTCTTTATCTCCGTCTCCTTCTTGATCTCCTCCTTCTCCTTCTTCTCCTTCTCCTTCTCCTTCTTCTTCTTCTCCTAGGTGCTCATGGTTTCTGTGGCCCTCCTTGCCGCGCCTAGGGCTATCATAATTTGTAGCGCAAGGCTTGCACCGGTTGCATCAGTCTCCATTCTGCGGAGAACCAATTCGGCTGCCCTAACAGAGGCGCGCGTGTGTATATACGAACGGCTCAGGGTACCATATAATTATGGTGAAAGCCAGTCGTGCTTGCTGATCGTGCGGTGGCATGGTGCGTAAGGGCAGCTTGGTCGAGTCAAGTGGTCGACACATTGGCGGCCACATCGATTGCCGCCGCCGCTGCTGTTACTGCGAGGCGCTGCTGGTTGGCTGCTACTATGTTGTTTCTCTCGAGGGTGTTCCTTCCTTCGTCAGCTACTTTCGGTCGTCGTATATCGACGCTTTTTCAGCATACTGTCCGTCCAACAGAGCGGCCTTCGATTGATCCCAATTGAGTTAGAAATCGTTAACAAAGGCTGATTGGT